AAAAGCGTGCCATCAACAAACAACATGAAAACAACGTAATAACCCTAAACCTAAACCTAACCCTTACCTTAACCCTAATCGCGCTTTCGTCGGTGCGCATTTATCGGTGCGCTTCTGTGGGCGCGATTTCATCCTCGCTGTTTTCTCGCCGCGGTTTTGTCAAGCGCGCATTTGTTGGACGCGCATTTGACGGGTCACGGTTTGGTTTGGTGTATTTGGGTCACAAACCAAAACTAGTTCTTCCCCTTCATCATTGGCATTTCCCATAAGTATAAGTGATGGAATTTTAACTTGGGTGGGGGGAGGGGGGAGAGCAAAGGGAGGATTAGACATTTGCTTTCCCTTCTTGGTAATTTTGGCCATAATTGGGGCAATCTGCATCTATTTCTTAAGGTTTTAAAAAACTTAAGTGGGAGACCTGCTGGAGAGAGCTCATGAAATTTACTTGGATGCCAGCCAGGAAGAAGAGGGCCACAATCCCCCACCCCCCAACCCAGTTATGTAACCAGAACATTTATGGCTGTTTGCAAAATCTTGGATGATGTTTATGACATTGCTGAAAACCAGCAGTTCTGGTTTTTGCCAGAACTACACCCATAGCAAACTTCTGTTTATTTAATGAACCCAGTATTCTTTTTACGACTCCTGCATTTGCTTAACAACTGCTGCAAAAAATGTAAAATTGCGTTGATCACATGAATGACCTTGTTTTACAATCATCACTTGGGACCATAATGGGTAGACTCCATTACGATCCTAACTCAAAAACTCCCTGTAGTGTTGTAGATACTGTATTCTTTACTTTGGTTCATTAGCAAATGAGTGAAATGGTTTGTAGAAGAACCAAAATTATTCACTATATGTTGCTGGAACTTTTCAAAGATCCCTTAAATGTATTTCAACAATAACTGTGAAATTGTTTACATTGCTATATAGTGTCCTATTATCAAACTTTTCTGATTTCTGATCAATGATGTTCCCATTATTAAATCTGTCTTTACTTCATTTAAACGTACTTTATTTGCCTGGAATTGCTTATCTTACTTCCTCAGAAAGAAGCAATAAAATAAAAGATGTTAATATTAGAGAAGAAAAGCAATGCAGAGTGAAAAGGGCAGTGAGAAAGGGGAAATGTTATATATTATAGTTCAAGGCTTATTATTAATCTAAAAATTAAAACAGAAGTCTCTTTGGTATGGCTGCAACTTAGACACATATCTAGCTTGGGTGATGAATGGTAAAGAAGATTATAACTCTCTTTGAGGGAGAGGACAGAAATGTGGAAAAATAAATAAGTAAAATTAATTAATTAATTTATGTCAAAGAAATTTTACACTTGTCGCTGAAAATGGTCGTGATAAGGCAAAAATTACATTTGAAAATCCTAGGTATGTATTTCCGAGATTGAAAAATATCCTATATTTCTGAAATAAAATAAACACCAAAGCTGCTATTTACCATTGCAGGAACTTTAATTCCAAGATTCCAAAGTCCTTTCAAGCTACTTCATGAATCATGAATATAATTGATGGATATGAATCTTGTATTCTGTGCATGGGAAGTGTTGAAGTGTTAGAAGAATCTGAAACACTTGTTTTTTTTTTAAATTCTGGCATCTTTGATAATTAATTTACAACTTGTGCTTTTTTCCCCAGGAGAATGTATGTGCAAGGTGTATTTTCAAATGCTGTTTTTGCAGTTTCTGGTGCCTAGAAAGATTTCTTGGATATTTAAACCAGGTATATTATATAAATTGGATAATACCACATACATAAAAATGAAAGCCATATGAAAAAGAAATGCTATGCTGATCAGTATCCAAGGCAGTTACTATCCCAGTTTTGTGACAACTAGCAAAGAAAGATGATCTTTATTTAAAAACCCTTTGCCCTTTTCATTCCAGCTGATTTTATAGAAAGCATGCAGGACTGTGCTTTAAATCTTAGCTGAAATAAATCACATTGAGTTCAATAGGCCTATTCATTGGTACATGGGAGGTAGAATAACTACTGTGATTTATAATGACCGGTTTAACTAATGTGACTAAACTAGAATGCATCTAAATCTCATTATTTCATTCTGCCAGACATAAGCACCTAGTGAATTATAGTCCGCAAAATGAGAATATAATCAGCTTCTGTAAAAATCTAAAAGGAAACTCCTTCATTGGAATCAAGGTCATTCATGGCATTATTTCTATCATATCCTGAGCTGTTCTAATCTGGGAATACGTATATAGTAGTATTCCATACGTTTTTTTTCAGGTGTGTTTCCCCAGAATTATTTTACATTTTGGTGGAATACACATTAATATAGTGATAGAATTATTGCTTTGAGTCCTGGAAAATGGAAAGCTGGAAAATTTAGAATTTGCAGAATAGGTACTGAAGCTGGAAGACATGAAAGAAAGCACCAGGACTGCCCATAAACTGAATCATGTTTAATAAAACTTTTCCCAATAATTACCGTACCAAGTTTTCTTTCAAATCCCAACCTAGTGAGTCCAAGCAATGGGGGCTGTCTCTGGAATCTGAATCACAAAGGGGATACTTTAATTAGGCATACTTTAATTTATAGCCCTTCCATCTGTCCCTGGAGTTGCCTAGCTTGGGCATCAGCACGGGAAGGTGTTCTGAGCCCCCCTTGTCCCACACCAACACACACTCCGAGCCAAAGATAAGTTACGGCATTTAATTAACAGACAGACAGGTCCTTGGCAGCAACCTGACACAGACAAGCTTGGGCAGCAATCCAGCACAGATAAGCCGTGGCAGCAATCCAGCA